TTTTTTTTTTTTTTTTTTTTTTTTTTTTGGTACCAGGGATCGAACTCGGGTCCTGGCGCCTGCAAGGCAGGCGGTGGAACCACTGAGCTAAATCCCCAGCCCTGGTTTCACTGATTTTTAAAAATATATTTACTCAAGAAATTTGTTTTTAAATTTAAGAGTAGGAGACAGTATATTCATACCAGAAAAAACTTTGTATTGTTGCCATTAAATTCAAGGTGACAATAAAATTATAGATACATTTGCATTTTGTTCCTTCATTTTGGTCCTATAGAAAACCTGAAAATATGTAAGACAATATAATACACTGTTGCTTCAGTAATACATTATTTATTACAACAAAAGATTTAGAAATAAGGCTAGAGTCTACCAACAGAAGATTCTTTGAATAGTGGTTATGTCTACATACTAGAGTACTGTTCAACTGCTTGGATGCTGTCTGTGTTCTTTAGAACACATAGAACAGAAAGCTGGGCATGGTGGCACATGCCTGTAATCCCAGCACTCGGGAGGCTGAGTCAGGAGGATCGCTGTGAATTCGAGACCACCCTGGGCTACATAGTGAGTTCCAGGTCAGACTCAACTTAACTACACAGTGAGACCTTGTCTCAAAAAACCAAAAAAAAAAAAAAACCCAAAAAACAAAAACAAGAAAACCCACATATAGAACAGAGATTTACTGAGGATACATGGTTAGGTTTAAATATTCAAAATGCACAGTGGGGGCCAGGGATTTAGCTCAGTGGTTAGGTGGCCTGCCCTGCAAGTGCAAGGACCCGAGTACAATCCCTGGTACCAAAAACAAAACAAAACAAAATGCACAGTGGAATATTATTCAGCATTAAAAAATGAAATCATGTCATTTTCAGGAAATGGTTGGAAATAAGCCAGACTGAGAAAAACAAGTATCATGTTTTCTCTTACATGTTGAATCTAATAGACAGACAGACAAACAGATGACAGAAAGCAGAACAGACTATTAGAGAAGAAGGGGGGGGCATGGGGAGGGAAGGACAAGGGAGGATGTAATAGAGGAATTATGAAAGTATGTTATATACATGTATAAATATGCTAGAATGAAAAATCACTATTTTGTATAACAAATAAGTACTACTAATTAAAAATTTTAAAAATAAATCAAGATGCAGAAAATATATAATGAATAAGAAATAGAAGAAATAAGAATATGTACTTATATTTATATAAGAAATTGGTAAAAGGATAAGTGAAATGCTAATGAAAGTGGTTTTCCTACTAGGGGCCAGGGGAAATAAGTGGATGGGGATAAGAATAAGAACAAGACAACATATATCTTTCATAGCAGCTAAATATTGAAGTGAATTTTTTAAAAACTTAACTAATTTATGTTGTGTTTTTTACTATAGTCAGTTTTGAATATACCTAAGTATAAAAAATAGAAAATGAACCCCATGTACCTGTCACCCAGCTCCAAAAATTACCAACATTGTGGCCAGTCTTGTTTTGTTAAGATCTCTACCTCCTTCCCACTTTCTCTCACTCCAAAATAGATTATTTTGAAAGAAATGTTAGACATCATATCATTTCATCCATATATACTTTAATGTGTAGCTTTAAAGAATAAAGTATTTTTAACATAACCAATATATGATTATCATTTTTAAAAATTTAATGTAGTTCTCTAATAACCAAATGTTATTTTAACCCTTCAATGCCCAGTGATCCATTTTTGGACTGCCCATAACAGTAGAACACAATGAATGTGTTCTCTTCACATTCTTGTTCCTTAAATTTTTCTGGGTGACATATATGAATTTAGTACAAAAATGCAAAAAATTTAATCTTCAGTATGTGTATTAATTTCCCTAATTATTTCATAAGATGTATTTGATATGTTCAAAACAGGATGTAAAATTATATTTCATTTGTTTCTTTTAATCCCCTTCTTTAAAAAAATAAAAGACTGCTTAACAGTTTATTTTGCAGAAGAAAATGGCTTTATTGTTCTGTATAGTTTCCTGAGCTCTTAAATATAATGGTCTAAAAATTCAGGATATTTTTGCTTTCCCCCCCTCGCAAATGGCATTGTTCATATAACAGAATACCTGGTTGTCTGCCTTGCTGTGATTTTGAGAAGTTGTCAGCCTTATCCATTCAGGAGATAAAATTCTCCATCAGTTTTTCTCTTAGTAGTTTAAAAAAATATTTCAAGGTCAAATTTTAAGATGTATGAAAGAAGTAAAGAGGCTATTTGATAGAAAACATACAAAAATTTTCATGAGGCTTAATTGATGAATATATGAGAAAGAAACATTCTTAAAGGAGAATAATCTGAAAACTTCATTCTCTAATAAATCAAATTTCAGTTTTGGACTACATCTCCTAACAGTGTTAACATTGGTAAGAAACGTCAAAGGTCTTGATCTTGAGCTATTATTGGCTTTGATGCAGTACACAAAATGATGTTTGTATGAGGTGGGAGATTATGCAGTTTAGAAACAATTGTGTTCTAAGATTAAAGAGCAGCTGAAGCTCTATGATTATTGTGAAGGGCATAAAGGTTGCCTTCCATCCTCCTCACCCCATTTTGACCATTCAAAAAGAAAAGTAATGTTAAAGACAAAAGAAAAGCTATGCTCAACTGGGTTGTATTATTATATTATTCACTATTGATTTACTGGCATAACTTGTTCAAAAGTGATTTTGCTGACTTATAAAGTGAGTTCACAACATGTTAGAAATCCAAATCTGTTTTGCTCCCAATATGTGAATATAATTCAATTAAATTCAGTAACAATGGACTTTATGTTTCCTTCAGTAATGAGAAATATTATTTATATCATCACTCTGACCTTTAGGTAAATACAGAGGGAATAAAAATATTGTAATAGCCAGTGACCCAAGGACTTAAACCTAAATAATTCTTTGTGTATCCTCTGTTTCCCATAGCTCCCATGGCAGGACAAGCAATTGTTTGGTATTCTCCTTTCCTTTTATATTTCCATTTGTTTAATCCATTTTTCTCCAAGTTGTAGTATTTCCTATATTCTATTTATTCTTGCCCTACCTTCCCCATTTCTTCTTTTCCTGAAATGACCTGTATTTTAAACTGCTAGAAAGAAATATGTATGAAATAGAACTTGTGCAGCTCCAAAATGTATCTAGAAGCTTGCCATTCCTCTCTGATAGGAGTGAGTGCCACACCAGGTTTCTGAACTTTCTCTTCATTGAGGTTGCAATCTGTTCTCTGTTTCTACACTGAAGAAATTCTGAGCTGTTAGCCTTGGAAGACAGAGCTTTGGGGGAAGGCAGGACACGTGACTGTGTTATACTTGTTGGGCACTCAATTGTCTGTTAGTCTGTTAGGAAGACACCTGAGAACAGATTTTAAATAGGTGAGTAGTTAGAACCAACAGATGTTACAGGGGGTTGATAAATGAACTAGTAGGTGGAAGAAATTGAGAGAGAAACAGATTTATAGGTGATGAGTGAGCAAGAATCAATCATCAGTAAAATAGTATAAACTACTTGCATTTAAGCTTTATACATCTCACTGGAAAGGAGAATTACACTCGCCTCTTCATTATTATTTACTGCAGGGATTATGACCGGGAGCAATTTGCTGATAACCAAATGCCACTGTTAATAATAGGGACTAAACTCGACCAGATTCATGAAACCAAACGCCATGAAGTTTTAACTAGGACTGCTTTCCTGGCTGAGGATTTCAATGCAGAAGAGATTAATTTGGTATGTATTTTCATTATTATATTGTCAGGTAAAGACAAAATCAAAGACTTATATTGAAATCATATATTCTAGTGAAGGAAGCTTTATATTCAAAGTCAGGATATTGGGGTTGTAGTCCACATGTAGCCAAGATTGCAGTCAGCCTATCTGAACTATCAGACAGTCACAGTCACTTTGGCCTTGTATGCTGATACATCGCAATATTCAAACTTCTTCTTGAGAAGAATTTTTTAAATCACACCAAAGTCAAAATTCTTAAAATGATTATGACAACATTGTATTTTATTATTTTTGGCTTTATAAAAGCATCTTTTAACCGCTTAAGCAGCAGAATTAACCTTAAAGAGCAACCAAATAGACACATGAAAAATTATGAACCATAAAGTAGGAATGAATCATAAAGACTAATTTGTATATACTTCTGGATATAGAAAGGATTGAGTCCCTTCCTGGGATAGCTAGTTTAATTATAACTCAGGGCTGAGAGGGCTAAGAAATAGTTCTCCTGTAAGTCAGTTAGCATTACCCAGAGAAGAACCTGTCAGCAGCTTCAGTCATGGTTATATGCCATTGTTCACAGTTGGATTTCTGTAACATACAAGGTGCACTGTGCTCCACATGTGTAGTGGGGATGGTTTAATAATACTCATGTCCAATATTGATTGAAGACTTGTGTTTCAAACACTGTTCCAATTTTTTATGTGCATTATCTTCACATCAACCCTGTAAGGAAGGTACTAGTATTATCCCCATTTTAAAGATTGAGACAAGAAGCAGAGAGAGATAACAAGGCCAAAATCACACAGGTCAAATAAAGCATTCTATTTCCCATTAACCAACTTTTCAACTAATATTAAGATTTGGGGAGCTGAAAATATTCTTAGAAATCATCTAGACCAGTGATGGCAAACCTTTTAGAGCCTTCAGTGGTACATCATCCTGCTGTGGTATGCGTGCCATAGGTTCACCACTACTGATCTACACTAAGCTCGTTAAGTTACCCAAAGCTGACTGCATATTACCAATAGTACTCACGAAAAATTTTTAATAACTACCCCCTGCATCTGGAGCTTTTTATTCATAAGGTCTAACATAAGGTCTGTAATTTTGTTTTGTTTTTACGTGGTTCTGCTGATCAAAACCAGGGCCTTGCACATGCTAAACATTCACTTTACCACTAAACTATACCCCTACCCCAAACTGTAATTTTAACAAATAACTCAGGTGGCTTTGATGTTCTTGCCCTGTGAACAATGTTTGTAAGCGCTGCTTGGTTTAACTCCACTTATACCCCCATGACCGAGTCTGTTCCTAGCTGTCATTGTGTTAGTTTTTATATTCTGCTTTATTGCAGAAGGTCGCTTATTTTGCTGTGGAATATTGAATGTAAATACCCAGGGAATCAGCATTGGACTATGATATTTCTGCAGTTGCTATATAAATATATAATATCTGTGTTGAAGAAGTTCTGAGGCTACTTTGAGTATTATTTCTAAAAGGAAATTTACCATTGTGTTCACTTAATTTGTCCCAGTGATAACTTTTAATATATTTTTGAAAGTGTGTGTTTCTAGTGCCTGTGGGTTTCTGTGACAACCAGCTTTTATTTGTTATCAAGATATAAAAGTGTTCAAGTTGTAGAATCTCAGTGCATGTATTCTCCAAAGAGTTTAAATACAACATTTTTGGCTTTTATCAGTATACAGTTTCAAGAACACAGAAGAAATGAGGGGAGAGACTCATGAGGAACAAAAATGAGGGAAGAAAAAATGAGGTAAATTGGATGCAGGGAAGTTTCAAAGGGAGACAGAAATAAAAAAGATTCAGCAAGTAAATATAAAGTCTCAAATAAAAAACTAATGAAGTATGAGTGTGGAGACATGTGTCTGTAATCCCATCTACTGAGGAGTTTAAGGTTTGAGGCAGTAGTTTGCAACATCAAAGCCAGCCTACATAATTTAGCAAAACCCTGTCTCAAAGGTTGTGGTGTCACAGGCCTGTAATCCCAACACTAGGAAGGCTAAGGCAGGAGGATTGCTGTGAGTTCGAGGGCAGCCTGGTCTACACAGTGAGTTCAGAGACAGCCTAAACTACATAGTGAAACCCTATCTCAAAAAAGCCCTAACAATAATAATAATGATAATAATAATATCATCATCATCATTATTATTATGATTTTAAAATAAAAAGCGTTGAGAGGATGTAATACAGTGGTAGAGTTACCAATACTGAGGGGAAATGCACTGAGACAGTATTAGTGCTAAATCATCAGATACTGTATGAATTTACTTGAAACTATAGAAAATATGAATATAATAAAGTATACATCAAAAATGGAATCAGCCAGGTGTAGTGGTACACGCCTGTAATTCTAGTATTGGACAGGCTGAGGCAAGAGGATCGCCATGAGTTCAAGGCCAATGTGGACTACCTAGCAAGACCTTGACTCAAAAAAACACTAGATGCAAAGTTGTTCTAATAACAAATAGGTGGGAGATTACTTTTCACTTTTTAAAACTGCTATTAGGCTTATTGTGTGTAGTAAGTTTATCTGTTGTGTGGTTATACAGACTGATGATAATTGAAGTATCTTCCCTAGTTAGTGGTTCTTTCTTAAACTCAGGCCAACTATCATAGATGTTAGATTGCAGCCTTTGTGATCAATGGCAGATGGCTGTAAACTTTTCGTAGGAAAAAAATACAGCTTTAAATATATAGGTCAGCTTGAAACTGTAAAGCCCTAGAACTGAGTGGGTTTTTTTGGGGGGAGGGGTGCTATTTGATTTAGTTTTTGTATTTAGCAATTTAACTATTTAGAATCATCTTTGACATTTTAAGAAGTTAATATCCATTTTATACAACGTATCTAATGCAGGTCTAAAGTTTGTTGTTTATGTGCCCCAATGGCTGTATAAATGAGTTCATACATTATTTCAAAACAACAGTATACATACTGGTGTTTTTGTGTATTTAATCCATATATAGAATTATCTTCATTGTGTTAGATGCTTTTGTGATAGCATTTTCTTAGAATGGAAAAGAGAACTAATATTCTGGTGCCTTCTAAGTCCTAGACATGCATTATCTCTCATTTAATCTTCACAAAATCTTATGGGATAAGTGTCATACCTGTTTCATAAATGAATAATCCCAGTTTAGTAACATAAGTAGCGTTATACAATTTAGAAATGTTGGCACAGGTACTGAAATACAGAGCTTAATGGCTTCAAAGACACTGATTTTGCTCATACTTTGTGACCATTGAAAAATCTGGTATAGTCTTTCTGTGTGGTCATTCTGTGGGGTTGAGGTGTTGGAGAATATATTAAAGTTTCTGATCAAAACTTACAATATGAACCTTGACATTTTGAACATGGATAAAATAGAGTTATGAAATTTATTGGAAAGGAATCATGTAGATTTAGAGATTACAAAACAGATTAAGTACAACAGTTTCTCAAGGGACACAGAGGGTCTGTAGATGAAAGATGAGTACAGTGGACCCTTGACATATGAACTCAATTCATTTGCAAGGGCTGGTTATAACTCACATTGGTTATAAGTCAAGACTGTTTTTCCCATGAGAAATAATGGAGGGCTCATAATGTAGCTGAGCAACACAGCTTCTGCCTGGCAAGTGTGAGTCCCTGAGTTCGATTCCCAGTACCAAAAAAAAAAAGAAATAATGGAAATTCCATAATGTGTTCCAACCATCCGAAAGCAGCCCTTAACGTACCTTTTTATAATATAAAAGGGTTGTATAATGTGCATAATTTACTAGAAACATCAATAATTTTCCTATATATCAAAAAGTTATAAAATGTGCCTAATTTACCAAAAATAACAATTTCATACCATACTCACCATTCAAGTTGACATCTTTGGCTTGCAGGAAGGGAGGATAAAATGGAATGTCATTATTGTTTGAAGGAGAGTACCCTTCCATAAGAACATCAGGAGTCTGGCTCTCTGGTGTCCTTTCTGCCCTTGGGAGAGTCTGTAGCCTACTAGGAACTGCTTCTGGCTCACTAGGTCTCAACCTTTTCCCAACTAAAAACTGGTCTAAGGTTGTCTGTTTCTGTCTTTTGTTTAACACTGTCTATATAGTATGATATGACATTATCATTAGGCATATGAATACAATTGGCTTTTTCTCTATCTGGATGGGTCTTCTCTACAAATGTTTGTGGCTCTGTCCGTTTTTTCAGTATATCCTTTATTTCAGAAAAAGAACTTTGCTGCCCTAATTGTTGATACTCCCCCTCCTTTTCAGAAAGCTCCTCAACTGCCATTCTCTGTTGCTCAGCTAGAACTTGCTGAAGTTCCTCTGTGGACAGTTCCCTGAGTGTTCCTCCAACAGTTCCTCAACATCACCGCTATCTACCTGCAAAGTCTTTCCTGTGTAATTTTAGGCCATACTTTCTCAGTCAGATCTCAGTGTCCTTAGAGCATCATTGGCCCAGGATTTCTTGATTAATCCCACACAGGAAAGAATGTTGCATTAATGTTCCTTCCAGGACTCTTTAAGGGCTTATCTGTATCTGAGACCTTTGGAAAGCTCTTCAGGAACAGTTCCTTGGAGTATAGCTTCTTAAAGTTAGGTAAAACCTGCTGGTCCATAGGCTGCAGTAGAGGATCTTTATTAGATAGGAAGAGCTTGACTGAGAGCCATGGAAACTCTTCAGCCAATTCTTCTTCTAGATCCGTGCATGAGCAGAAACATCGCCCATGATGGGGAAAGCCTTGAGGGATAAACCTTTGTCCTCTACATATTTCTTAACAGTAGGACAAAAAGCCTCCATGATCTTACTCAAGAGAATATATTCATGTTACCCAGGCTTTTGCGTTAGATCTCCACATGACTCCTATCCTATTTTCCATGACTGTTTTCTGAACACTCTAAGGATCTCAGAGTGATAAACTAAGAGAAGCTTTGTGTTGAGGTCACCATTTATTTACATTGGCATATAGCAGTAAGGTTAGCCTGTCCTTCATAGGTTTGTGGCCTGCCATTTTCTTCTCTTCCTGATTAATGTATGTTCTCCTGGGCATTTTCTTGCAGACAAGGCCAGTTTCATCACATTTGAAAACTTGTTGAGAGCAAAAGCTATTTGTCTGTGTCATCGTTTCGAAGTGCTGTGTATAATTTTCAGCAGCCCATTTATCAGCACTGGCTGCTTCACCATGCCTACTTAAGCTATGAACCCCAGTTCTTACTTAAAATTGTGAAAACACCCCTTACTGGCCTGAAATGTTTCACCATTATCACTCGTTTATGAATGATCTTTTATGAGATCTGAATTAATAGCCCTAGCTTTTTCAAAAATTATAAACTCAGGCTATAACCTACCATCTGCCTTTTGTTTATCCACACTAATAATAGCTTTTTTACTTTGTCTAACATTGTGACTTACTAATTTGAGTTACACCTTTAGCAGTACTAGTTTCCTTATACAAATCTTTCTCTGAAAAATTGTCCAGATGGTAGATTCTGACATGCTGTGTACATATTAGCGAGATTGGTCACAGGAACACCACTCATATTTCTCCATAATTTCCTTCTTTTCTATTGTGATTTCTTTCTTTACCTTCACTTCCTTCCTTAGCTTCTTTTCTAGCTTTTTGGAGCTTTGGAAGAACCTGTAGCCAAGTAGTATGGATTTGTACAACCCTATTTGTATAAGATCTACAAATAAAAGTAATCATAGCAATTATATAAAGCACTGACTGAAATTATGTCCACAAACACACATATCTGGGCTCAGACTGATGCTTGTATATGATTACATATGCTTTTCTGGCATTGCAAGTTTTTATTTACAACTCTACAAGCAACCAGTATTCTGGTCGTAACTCAAGACTTTGGTTATAAGTTAAAACTAAAATTCAGTCATAATGCAAGTTGTTCATCTGTAAGGCTGGTTGTAACTCGAGAGTCCACTGTATTCTTGCAAAGGAGCTTCATGACATCCTCAAAGTCTACTCTGAGGAGGTATTGAGATAAACATCAATGCACACTTTGTCTCTTGTGATGGCAAATGAATGGTGACAAACAGAGATCATGCTACACTGGAATTCCAGGAGAAAGGTAATAAGCCTTTTAAGGATTTTGTAAGTCTTCTGAGCCCCATCTTTTTCCTATTTGAAACATTATTACTATATTAAATAATAGTACTATACCTAATGTTTATTATTATGAAAAATAATAGATCTTTGTGGCCTATAAAAAGAGAAATCCATGTGTTCTCTTTGTTCTTTGCTCCTCTTTAATGTTTACTATCATATGAATTGCATAGTACTTGATTACTTCAGCACTGTGAATAGTCCTATAAAATGAAGTGTTTACTTTTCGTAATGGCTTATTTCTGGTTTGGGAGGTTAAATGTAAACAGGTTGCCTGATTAAGTCCTTGATTTTGTGGTAAGTGAACTAAGAACAATTCTAGCTTTTATGAATTATTTGATAAGGAATACATGGACTCATTATACTTTAAAATTGCTTAAATGACAGAATAAATGATATTAACTTTTTTTGATAGTTTTCTGCTTTGTGCATCATAATTTTTGAAAATTATTTGAATACTTTGTGAGCATACTATAATTGTTTAGAAAAGTACAAGAGGAACAGTTTTAACTAACAGAATTTTGTCCTAACTTTTATTTGTGAAACTTATGTTTTCTAGGATTGCACAAATCCACGGTACTTAGCTGCAGGTTCTTCCAATGCTGTCAAGATCAGTAGGTTTTTTGATAAGGTAATGGCTTCAATTAAGTGACTTTTAAACTTATTTTATGTGTTATGAAGGTTTAAACTCTATGTAGAATGCTGTTCCTTTTATTTCTTCATCCAGAACTTCACAGCCTGAATAACAACTGTTTTGATCACTATTATCTGTTGAGATAATTACTCAAGGTTTGCTGATGTATTTATTTAATCCTCAGTCTTTTAAGCCTGAGGTGAAAGCTATTGGATTTAAGTCAGAGTTCTTAAAAAGCTACCTAATCGCTCTCCTTAGAACCATTTATATCTACCCCTTTTCTAGCTCTTTGAGTACTTATTCACACCTGCCATCCTCCAAAAGGCACTGACCTGGAAAGAATCTGCTTAAAGCCTTAGTTCTTTTTGTTCTGTCAGCTGTAGATATTCTCCACATAAACAATACTATTTCTTGGTAAGGTTATATCATCTTCCTGATTCCCAATGTTTCCCTGTCAAAACTTTTGCATTCCTTTTACTGACTTTTGGCATCATCCTTTGCCACTGAACTAGAATGAAAATGTAGAATGACTTAGCACACTCTAACTTAAGGCACCCTTTGTTTTTCTTACACAAGCCCATACAATTGCATTGTACGTAATATTGACCAAATTTAAGTTATTTGCCCAATGTTGATATTACATACCCTAATGTAAAAATAAAACATTTCTTTATATGTATCATTAAAGATTAATTTCTGTATTTTTCTTTTTAAGTATAATCTAAGAAAAACATTTCCCTCCTTTATTCTTTCTTGACCATTTGTCTTTTAACTATTATATATCTAATATTTAGCCCTTTGTTCAATATATCAACATATAAAATAAGCCCTAGTTCCCTCCCTGTTTGTTTGATATTAGTCCAAGAGGAAATTTTTGCCTTGCTGCAGAACTTTTTAACTGACAAATAGTACACAAGTGTGCCCAGATATGATTTCTTCATTTCTCAAAGCAGCAAGAGTCCCTGCACAAAAACAGCCAGCGTCACTGACCTTGCTGTGCTATACACTTATTAGCTTTTTCTAAGTGTGCCGTTATTGTCCAAAATGGGACACCATAACATGAAAAATATTGGAAAGCACTGCAAAGAACCAGATTTTTTTTCTCCACATTATTTTCAAATTTAAAATATAGAAACTTCCATTTGGTTTAGATCTTTAGCCTCCCCTGTGCAAAATTCTACCCTAAGAGCAACAATCTTATATAACTATATCTGATCTGGAAAGGTTTCACAATATATTGTTTAATTTTTTAAATTATTGTTTTTAAAAATTAAAAAGATGTAATAAGTTATATGCTAGACTAATAAGGATGTGTAGACTAGAGTAACCCAAGTTGTCAGGCAGGGCTTTATTTTTTTAATGAGGAATAATTTGGTCATATAAAGACTTAGTAAGATACAGCCTCTGCAAGTTGCTAGTAAAGAATTATCAGAAAAAGCAAAAGGTTAATTTCTCTGTTACCTAAATCTCAACAAAATATACGTGACTAGGAGGTGGGCTAGACCTCCAAACTGAGGTGTTGGCCTAAAACCTAGGCACCTGGCAGTTAATTTTTGTCCAATTTTTCTATGTAGCACATCTTCCAGAAGTTAGTATATAGTCTAATTCCTACTCCAGATACCCTTAGCTAGGAGTAGTTCTACTCTAGAATAAGATTTTCTTGTCATTTTTGTGGGGTCCAGTATTTTGAGATGTATAACAATCACAAAGCAGATTTTTCTGAGACCAGTTTGCCCTGGATCTCTTGTGGCTTAAACTAACTGTAGTCTCCAGGATAGAAAGGATATGGTATTTTGGCTCTTGTGTCAATGAGAGCAACCTGGTACAGTCCTGGGAAAACATGCCTTGCTCTCACTCAGAGGAATTCTTACCTTCATCATTTGTATTTAAATACCTTAGAGTTTATCTCTAGCTAATCTGTATTCTTACCTGATTAACTTTTCTTATCACAGCAGCTCTTTGTAGCAAAAATAACACTGCCTCTGCAACCATTGCAGTGTTTCTCAAATGTTAGAATAAAATTCACTTTTATCAGTGCTCTTAAACTCATTACATTAGCATGTATATTTTTAGCATTTCATTCCAGTAGAAGTGATGGATTTGTGCAGATGCATCCATTGCTTTAACTTATTTCACCTATTGACCAGATACAGATAGTTCTAAAACTGCTGAATTAAGGGTGCAGATGAAATACAAAAGGAAGCTAATTGACTGTTTTTGATTTTGCATCATTTGTCTACAGTAAGGACATACAGAATTTGTCACTGTTTACTACAGGGACAGGGCAGCTCCCTGCATTGCACACACTCCTCTTGAACAGCTGTACTATTGTAGGAATCAAATGCTTTCCTTATATTATGGATTCTGTTTAGAACCTTTTGGGGCTGACTGCTGGAAAACTTAGAGACAAATTTGCTGCCATACTGTAGGAATTACATGGGATCTTATTATTCTGTTATTTAGTTGTTTTTGTTGATTTTCTGATCTCTCATGATTTTTGGAGTAAAGTGGGCCTTTATGGAAATACTCCCACTATCCTGATCTCTTTTGCACCAGATTTTAACCCACTACTAAGTATCTACATCTATTAAATATTCTTATTTTGAATATATTTCTTTTCGACCCATTAGTGGCCATTATGGTCAGCTGCTTTCTCTGAGTAAAAGTGTGCTAGCCCTTAAAATCTGTTTCTCAAAGCTTTCATACATAGGGAGAAGAGGAGGTTTGAGGAGAGAGGGGGAATGGGATGAAATAAAATAATTTTTTTTAAAATCTTTGTTTCTCACAGGTCATAGAGAAGCGATACTTTTTAAGAGAAGGTAATCAGGTTAGTATCTATTTTCTTAATAAAATGGGGTTTTAAGTTTCGAGAAAGATGCTTTCCAAATTTAAATTTAAAGTTGGTTTTAAAAAATTGGGAGAATCCCTTTTAGGCACAAGCAATTTATTTTCTTCTTCTCTATAAAATACAAAAGGAGAAAATCCGCAAAAGAAAACAAGTATTTAAGATACCAGAAGAATCGAAAAATAAGATCATGTTATAGTAGGAGAAAATCATTTAAGACTCCAAAGTTTATGTCCAGCATCTGTCACAATGCAGATAATTCATATAAAAGTCCAGTAGGTGATTCTAGGAGATTCACCTTCGTCCTTTCTGATTTAGAGAACACTGTCACCAATTTTTTGGCAAATGTTTTCCACTCTGGTGGAATTTCTTTTCATTTTCTGTGGTTTTCTGAGCAAAACCTCAGAAAGCTATTGCTATAATGAACAGAAGACTTGATAAACAGAAACAGAATTAAAAGGGAAAACATTTTTTTTTTTTTTTGGCACCAGTGATTGAACTCAGGTCCTTGCGCTTGCAAGGCAGGCCACCGAACCGCTGAGCTAAATCCCCTGCCCAAAAGGGAAAACATTTAATATTAACTTTTTAACTTTTCCTGCTTAAATCTTAAATGTGATTATCTTTCTTGCCTACAGATTCCAGGCTTTCCTGATAGAAAAAGGTTTGGAGGAACGTTAAAGAGCCTTCATTATGACTGAATTGCAGTCATCCTTTGGAAGAGTAAGCAGGCAGTTTTCGCAGCTTTCCTCTTGCTGTGTCATTTATGAACATCACAGACTTCTGACAAAACCCTCTGAAAACACAACCCTTCAGCCTCACACATTAATAGAAAAATGAAAGTAGGTGACAACGTGGAAGGTCCAAACTGTGTCCCTCTTCTCAGTGTTCTTCACCTTTCTGTCCCTGTTTACTGATTATGTAAAAGCCTATGGAAATGTGAGTATTGTATTGTCAGAATGCCGCAGTAAATGAGCAGTGTGACCAAGTACTGCAGAAATTTGTCTCTAAGAACTTCCTCTTGCCTGGAACTGGAGTATTTTTATGCGTGTATAATTTTCCCTACACTCATTTCTGAAAGCTTTTAATTAAGTACTTCAAAAAACTTTCTGTTGTTTTACCTTCTTAAGGGGAAAGCTTATATAAACCAGCCCTGAATTGTCCACCCCAAACAGTCTCTCATTTTCAAAGCAACCAAATGGTGTTATTTAATTGTCTGTTCCCTCATCACGCATAGGAATGCCTAAGAATAGCAACCCTTGTCTCCCTCTTCTCTTCTTTGCAAATGTCTTGGTGGCTGGAGAGGCAGACTAATAGCTGGAGTTAAATATAATTTCTGATTAATAATATATAAAGAACCATACCAGAAAAGAATTTGGTGAGAAATTGACAGCTCCATCACTCTTTAGGTTGCAGCTATCTGCAGTCTCTTACAGTTTTCTGTTTGGAAAAAGCTAAAGTGAGATCTAAGACCTACACAAGGACAGTGAAAGATTTACAGCTTCTTGATGTTTATTTTTAAAAGAAAATTGAACCTCTAAAATGTTCCTTAACTGTAGTCAGTAAGCTAAGAATATTATCCTTGTGTCAATAATGTATTTATGGAGAAAAGTAAAAATAAGTTCCATAGCAACAAATTTACATGAATTATGAGCTAAGATTCTTGGATTTCATAATCACTTCAAAGCTTTTTGGGAATGGGGTATGTGTGTGTGTACATTCATAATTGTTTGTCGGAAACTTTTTTTTTAGCCCATCTTTTTTCCTTAATTCTCTCTGGTCCAGTTCTTACTTAGTATATAAAATTGGTTTCAAAAGACTAATTTGCTGCCTTATTTGACACTTTATCATCTATATTCTCTCTGCAGAAGATCTTTGCCTTTTTTATTTTACTCCATATTAAAATAATAACAATAAATACACAGTTTTAGTTCTTATGTTAAAACTAGGAAAAAAACACTAAATTCATTTTCTTTTCCATTTTAATTCAAATTTGGAAATCAAGATAAGGAAAGGGGACAAGAAAAAAAGTATAGAAGGAAAAATGGAAACAAGCTTTTGTAAATAACAAGGGGAAGAGGGGTTAAAGGGTGGGGAGGGAAATGGGAACATAGAACCAAGATATATCATGTACAGGTCCAAATTCCCTGTGATGAATACGATCATTATGTATATCTAAAATGTATGAATAAATGTCTTACTTATAAAAAACTAATTATTACAGAATGTTTGTAGAAAGGTAGTCTTAAGAATTTGAAAAAGCATTTTAAAAGTACTTTTCATCAGGTAGACCATTCTTCAGTCTTTCTTCCCTTTATCACTGTCAGGACCTAGCCCTAGTTTCTTTTGTGACAGAGAAGAGTTACACAAATCATAAGCTGTACATAGAATTTGGCACAAGTGTGTCATACCAGAGTCTGTTCACTTGGGAAGTAGAAATCAAATGCTACACAAAGATCTAGACTAGCTAAAATCCTTTAGCTGAGGATGTAGCTCAGTAGTAGAGCACTTTGCTAACATATGCAAACCTGTGGGTTTGATCCCTAGCACCACAAAATTTTAAAAATCTCTACCCCTTCATTCCCTTTTTTCCTTTTCATTAGCTAAAAAAAGTCCCTGTTTCTTTCGTTTTTCTCCCTTATTAATAAAAGTAACCCATAACCAAGATCACCCTTGAAAAATTAACAGTATTTCTAAAGTCATTTTGTCTTGTTACCAGCTTGATTCCCTGAATTATAGTTTTGTAAAAAAAAATAATATATAATCATCTAAGATAAATTTGCACTATCAGTAGCACCAAAATAAAGCTGTTTATCAAAATGAATGTTATTAACCAGACTTGTGCAAAGAGTATTTTTGAGCATAATTCTTACTAATAATCATTAAAAATTGCCTATAGGTAATATAAGTAACAAAGTAGTTTTTTAAAATTAGTAATTAAATCTTAAGTTTTCTTTCCTCCTTGATGGGACAATCTGCTAGCTATAGAGAGTTTTGGTTCCCCACCCCACCCCCATATAATTTAGATCCCTAACCCAATATTCTTACTCATTGTAGAGGCAACCAGATGTGAAGACACATAGCCATTCATTGGTCCCTTGGATGGATAAGACCTGTAGTTGGAATTTGGGCTGGTCTCTCCACCTTAATGATGAGGTCCAGGACACACACTATCCCAAAATGTAGTGCTTTGGCATTGGAGAAAACAGAAGAAAGGTTTATGCACATCTCTCCATCACCCCTTCTCCCGTGAAGCAGGCCATAAACCCTAGCTTACCATGAAGTAGTTAATAAAACTCTTTATTCTAGAAGCATCTTCCCTGTACCTGAGAGAAAAGAACATCCTTATCCTTTATGACAAAGATGTTCATTCAGATAGGTGAATCTGAACAAACATGCCTTGCTAAATTCGTTGCCATCATATTGTACCTTTTGTCCTCTAGTCATACTTCTACACAATTATTCATCAAAATACACAGGTTTCCCTTTTCTGAGGAGTCTTCAAATTAATATTAAATACATGTATATGCTTTTCTCTTTTTAATCTGCCTTTTGTTACAAGTGCCTCCATTATGAACCTGGCCATAAATGAGAAAAGAAATATCTTTTCCCCTGCAATTCTTTAAGAGCTACCCATTTCCAAAGGGAGTATTAGAATTAGATCAAGTTTTCAGGTTCTCCTTACTTCAGGTATTGATAATATATCCCATGTGTCCTCAGGCTGATTTTTGGGTTTTTTTTGTTGTTTGTTTGTTTGTTTGTTTTTTTGGCCATTCATAGAACTGATGTGCTGGGCAGTTGGACTGAGATGAAGGACTCCTGATTGCTGCCAGTATCAGTGCTCTTTAAGTCTTCATTTCAACAGTGTGCTCTAGCTCCCAACATGGGTAGGGATTTGTAAAAATATTTAATAGATGATGCTTTAATTGAAAATTTTAAAGCACAAGTATCCTATTTTAAGACTTTTGGAGGTCTAGCAGGGAGTCTGCATTGATTTAATATCTGTTAAAATTCAAAGGAGGATACTGATTGGGGGAAAGGAGGAGAAGAAAATTAAAAATGCATTTCTCTGCAGTTGCAAGAGAGCTAAAACACTGTGGTGAGAGAGGAAAATTTCCAGGAAATCTAGCTCTGGGTCACATACACTCCACAGTATTTTTGCCTGTGCAAATTATGTGGAGCTGGCGTTTGCCAGGGCTGCCACAGCGTAGGTAAAGGATCAGACTTCCAGTAACAGCACCTTCATTTAAGAATTTAAATCAATGGCTTTCAAACTCAAAAGTGCATTCAAATCACCTGAAGCACATGTTTAATTTCTTCTCTGCCTCTTCCCTTCCAGTTCTGTATGTATGAAATAAGGCCAGGTTTTTGTATTTTTAACAGAATTCTGCATCTGATTCCAATGCAGGTAGCCAGAATCTAGCTTTTCAGAAAGACTAATCAGTTGATCAAAAAGTAGAGAATACTCGAGTTGTAGACTCTGTACTTCATGAGTATCATTATAGCAGAGTTCATCAGTGTACATCTTGTTTTTTTTTTCCTTTTGGTACTGGGGATCGAACTCAGGTCCTTGCACTTGCAAAGCACGTGCTGGAATCACTGAACTAAATCCCCAGCCCAGTGTACATCTTGAGTTGCCTGTACATAGCACCTTGGTGAACTGATCCATTTCCCCCTTCTCAAAGCTACACGTGCCAAAGTAGACATCAGTCATACCACCTACTGAAAAAACAAGGCGTGTTTGTGATGTGTGCTGCTTTCATTTTCTGGTACTGCTGCTTTCTTCATCCTGGGAGAATATGTTTCTTTTTTAAATTTTTAGTTTATTAATACATGTATATAATGCATAGTGTTTACGCTCCTTGTGGGGAGTTGGTACATGTACATAACACATCTCTTTCATCCTATTTCTTTCTCTTCCCTCCTTTCTCCCATCTCTTAATCCTCCTCCTCCTCCTCCTCTTTCTAATCCAGGCATATATCCATTTTAATCAGTGGCTTTCATCTTATACATCCATCCTCTCGTCCTGTATTTGCTTTCTCAGCTGGCCTACCACTGAGCTGTACCAAGATCATCAATAAATAATGGTGCTCAGTACCATCTTTCCCTTTCAGGTCTCTGTCTTGGAGTCCTCTAACTCTACCAGTGATCTGTGGGTGTGTCACACAGATCTCATTACCCCCTGTATCAATCTCTACCTTCCTGGATAGTGTGTTTTCCATTTTCCTGATGTGGGTCACTGGCCTTCAAATGGGGAAGAATACAAGTATCTCTTCCAACAGATACACAAACATGGGTAGTTTAAGGGACTCATTTTCTGGATCATTATTTTCCATGTTTATGTTTCTCAAAATTGAACTGCTCATCAATAGCAAAATTCTAGTTTGTACTTGCACCTCTACTTTCATGAGGAACAATTCATTTGTAAAAGCATCATTATATAGTCTTACCCCAGGGTGTAAATATCAACATGCCCAGAAAAGGACAATTTTAAATATTTGTTTTAAGGACTTTGTCTCATTCCCCATAATTATTAAAAAAAAAAAAAAAAAAAAAAAAAAAAAAAAAAAAAAAAAAAAAAAGAACTTTGGAAAAAAACAAAAAAAATTGTCTCATTCCATAATTATTAAAAAAAAAAAAAAAACAAAGCAAAGAGAGCTTTGGCAAGAAATATCCAAGGCTTTCATTGCAAAAGTTTGGTCTAGTCCATCAAAGTATCAAAAAAGTTACCAGTTATTATGTAGGGAAAGGGTATATAAAATTAACATTTTTATTTCTCCAGAAGTTTCTGGGTAAATGTGTTAGACTACCGCTAAGTGAAAGTGTAACACTTAAGTAAACATATTTCACTAGCTGGTCATGAAGCCCTTTCCAGTGAGGTGTCCAATCATTTGCTTTTAACCCTCTTAACAAAGAACCTAGTTGAGTTGTAAACTGATAGACCATTAAAAATAATGTTTAATGATAAATCACTACATGATTTTTTTATGTTTAATTCAGAAAGGAATAAGACCAGAATAAAATCCCTTGCATTCATATATCCTTATGTGAACAAATTTTGTCAGTGTATCTCTAAAACCAAAAAATAGAATGAAATGGTAGTTAATCCTACTCATTTTAGAAATAATTACCAGTAAGGCGTGGTGGTGCATGCCTGTAATCTCAGCACTCTAGGAGACTGAGTCAGGAGGATCTCAAATTTGATCCCATCCTGGGAAACCTAGCAACATAGTGAGAATCTGGCTGAAAATGAAAAATGGGCTATATCTCAATGAGAAGGCCCTAAGTTCAGTCCTATTATGGTTTGTATCTATATGTCCCCTCAAACCCTCATGCATTCATAGGATGGGCTTTTGGGAGATGGGTAGATGTAGGGTGTTTGATACTGGGATTAAGGGTGTGTGGTACTTGATTAGTCCATTGATTGGTAGTACCATAGTTCTTGCTGTGGCTGAATGAATTTAGTGAAAACAGAAGCCCCAGCTTTGTGTGTGTGTGTGTGTGTGTATGTGTGTGTGTGTGTGTGTGGCACCACCCAACAACTTTCTAGCCTCATGGGATAAAAGGAAAAGACTGCCTGCTGCTTGCTGCCTCCTGCCTACTCTACCATGGACTTTTTGTCGCCACTCTGCCTTGGTGTCAAACAACTATAGACTGAAACCTCTATAAACTGAGCCAAAATAACCAACCCTTTCCTCCTTTAACTTATGGATGTTGGGTATTTTGTTTCAGCAATGATAAAAGTAAGAAAATTCATCAGTAAAAGGGAAAGGAATTACTCATTCATGGATATATGAATTAAGAAGAGAAACACAGCTGGGTGTGGTGGCGCATGCCTGTAATCCCAGCACTCGTGAGGCTGAGGCAGGAGGATCACTGTGGGTTCAAGACCAGCCTGAGTTACACAGTGAGTTCCAGGTCAGTCTCACTACATAGTGAGATCCTGTCTCAAAAAACAAACCAACAAACCAAGAAGAGAAACATTCACTTCATTAAAGCTTTTTTGGGGGTACTAGGGATTGAACTCAGGACCTTGCACTTGTGAGGCAGGTGGCAGAACCACTGAGTTAAATCC